TGCTGTGACTGATAGTGCTGAGGGTGAGTGTTACCTGTGTGTGAGAGGGAGTTGAATTCTTCCAGACCTTCTCCCCTACCCCGAAGATGACCACTCTTCGAGTTCTGCTACACGTCGCCGCTCAGCGTGACTACGAGCTTCACTCTCTTGACTTCAGCACTGCTTTCCTACAGGGCAGCCTGCACGAGGAGATCTGGCTGCGCCGCCCACCTGGCTTCACTGGGTCGTTTCCTGCTGGTACCCTGTGGAGCCTCCGGCGGCCAGTCTACGGTCTCCGCCAGGCATCCCGTGAGTGGCACGACACACTGAGGACTACTCTTGCTGCTCTTGGGTTTGCTCCTTCTACTGCTGACCTGTCGCTGTTTCTACGCACCGACACCACTCTGCCGCCGTTCTACGTTCTCGTGTACGTAGACGACTTGGTCTTTGCTACTTCTGACACTGAGGGACTCGCCCACGTGAAGTCGGAGCTGCAGAAGAGACACACGTGCACAGACCTGGGTGAGCTGACAAGCTATCTTGGCTTGCGGATCACCCGGGACAGAGCACAGTGCACCATTACCCTGACTCAGTCACACATGGTGCAGCAGGTCCTTCAGCGCTTCCGCTTCACGTACTCCTCGCCACAGTCCACTCCTCTGCCTACCGGTCACTCGCTCTCAGCTCCACCTTCGGACGAGTCCGTAGAGCCGAGTGGCCCGTATCCAGAGCTTGTGGGCTGCCTCATGTACCTGATGACCTGCACTCGACCTGACCTTGCCTACCCTCTTAGCATCCTAGCACGCTATGTCGCTCCTGGCCGACACAGGAAGGAGTACATGGATGCCGCTAAGAGGGTGTTGCGCTACTTGTGCAGTACGTCGGGCATGGGGCTCGTGCTTGGAGGACGGGCTTGAGTTGTCCTCACTGGTCACGCAGACGCTTCTTGGGCTGACGACTTGGCTACGCAGCGGTCGTCACAGGGTTACACCTTCAGCCTTGGCTCCGGCTCTGTTTCTTGGCGGTCTACCCGCTCTTCTTCTGTTCTCAGCTCCAGCTGTGAGGCTGAGATCTACGCAGGGGCCATGGCTGCACAGGAGTTACGCTGGCTCACCTACCTGCTGACCGACCTGGGAGAGCTGCCTCGTTCTCCTCCAGTGCTGTACGTCGACAACAAGGCCATGATTGCCTTGTGTCAGGAGCACAGACTGGAGCACAGAACGAAGCACATCGCTCTGCGCTACTTCCTTGCTCGAGAGTTGCAGCAGCGTGGTCAGCAGGATTTCGGAGGTGGCGGTGAGAATGATTCCTGAGTCGCTCTCATACCATGTTGCGATCAGAAGTTGATCGTGCCTAGGATCACCTCAGGAAGGTTCGCACACGTCTGAGTAGTGGTGGGCCCTTGACCTCAATAGCAGAGTGGATGTAAAATGCTTGAGATGATAAAAACATGCAAATACAGGAATATAAATAAGAGTACAAGGGAATATGAATCGACCTAGTCTAGCCATGTACTCTAAGGGGTACATTCCCTTATTGCAGCGAAACCAAACCGCGCGACTCGAGACGGTTACAAACTGCCTTGGCAGAATCCTCGCCTCTGCTACTGCCTGATGCTGTCTGCCCGACGGTCCAGATGCCTTCGTAACCGTACGACCCTTCGCGTCACTTCCGTCCTTTCGTCTTCCTTCTCGGTAGTGCGCGCTTCGATTGCTGCGGTGAGGAGTGCACAGTGATGCTTCAATAATTACTATTCGTAACAATTGCAACATTTCATGGGAAGAAACCTACCTTTCTCCACAAACGAATCTAGAGGAAAAACATAAGGTCGTGTTACTTCGAATTGCATTAGACGAAATTCGATCATTCGAGTGTATTTGGACCTACAAGATCAAATACCGTCATCACCCGGATATAAGACAGTGTTGAATAGTAGACAGGGGTTGTCTACTATACGGGTGTCTCTTATAAACAGGCTAGCCTCATTATAAAATACCTATTTGTGTGTACGAGATAAGACATATATGTCTTATAATCGAAACTGTGAAAGTTTAAAAAGAAGAAGGAGGGTTGCACTAGCAAGAATGAGGATACAAATAGCAAACCCTAGAAGGATTGTACTCGCTATAGAGCACCCCACTACAGGCTAGAGCATAATATTCTGACACACCCCCATAGCCAAAGTGGGGTGTAATCAGCAGAGCAAGCACAGCAGTACAAGCTCAGGGTGGATCACAATGTCACCACACATTCTGAGCACAAGTTCAAGAAGCAATAGTTTAAAGTTCACAATTATGAGCAAAGCTAGAGGCTATCGCAGAGGGCAAGTGAGGAGGAGGAGAGACTGTGGGGGAGAGAAGATGGGAGGCGACTGCTGACGCTGCAGATACACAGACGAGCTGCTGGCTCAGTGGCTACCGGAACAACGCTCCGGACTACTGGGGTAACTGGCCCCGCGGCTAAAAGTAGCGGCACACGAGCAACGGACCCACGGGCGACTGGCGACTACCGGAGATTGTAGCCTCCGGACTGCTGCTGCTGCTGACGACAAGACTGCTGCCTCCACTCGACCTCCCCCAAACAGTACCACCCCTCCTGACACACACCCGCTGCTACACCGCTAGCTCCACTCCCCCTTCACCCCCCCTTAGCACCACTCCAACGGCTCCAACAAGTCCACCCCCCCTCAGCGGCAGCTGCAGCACAGGGAGACGGAGGAGGAGGAGGAGCAGGGAACGGCACACAGTAGTTTCACCCCCATACCCCTCACCCCCAAACCCTAATTCAGGAGAACGGGCTGTAGGAGGGGTGGGGCGCCAGCAGAAGCACGGGGGACAGCGGGGAGGGCAGGGGCAGCGAGGAAAGGGCCGCCCACGGGCCTGGCACAGCCTCCCGAACCGCGCGCAGGCGGCCCGAGCCGCGCGCGGGCCTGGCGCAGCCCGTACGGGCCGCGCGCGGGCCTGGCGCAGCCCGTACGGGCCGCGCGCGGGTCTGGCGCAGCCCGTACGGGCCGCGCGCGGGTCTGGCGCAGCCCGTACGGGCCGCGCGCAGGCCTGGCGCAGCCCGTACGGGCCGCGCGCCGGCTGTACGGGCCGCGCGCAGGCCACGACGGGCGACAGGGGGCGACGCGCGGGTCCCCGTCGCCCGTCGCAGCGCCTCCCGAGGGCGACGCGGCGAGTGACGGGGTAGAAGCCCGCCGCGCGCCTCGGGGCGCACAGCGGGCAGAGAACCGCCGCGCGCCAAGGGGCGCACGGCGGGCAGAAAACCGCCGCGCGCCTCGGGGCGCACGGCGGGAAGAAAAACTGCCGCACGCCACGGGGCGTGCGGCACAGAAGGTAGTAGTGGAAGTTGCAGCGGAAGCAACGAGGTGGTGAGCCCACCCACAGGATCGATCCAAGGGGATCGACCTGCTCTGATAGCATGTGAAAGTTTAAAAAGAAGAAGGAGGGTTGCACTAGCAAGAATGAGGATACAAATAGCAAACCCTAGAAGGATTGTACTCGCTATAGAGCACCCCACTACAGGCTAGAGCATAATATTCTGCCAGAAACTTCAATAAATTATAGCGAAAGTTGAAATACCGCGTACATTTTTACCCTTGCGAAGCGCGAATTCTTCCACGCGCTGACCCATGACCTACCAAATTTGCCCCTGCAGGTGTTCTCCATAACGTGGCGTCCCGGGCAGAGGTTGTCGAAGTGGCACCTTCGCAACATCCACACTCATTATGAGAAACTCTTTTTCAAGAAGTACGGAAAATATTTCTAAGTAGTTTAAAAAGTTTCCATTTATAAGACTTATAAGACACCCTAAACCATCCCGTTTACAAGATAACTCAAGCATTTTTGCCCGTATACGAGATAAGACATATATGTCTTATATCCGGGCGATGACGGTACAGGATATCGTACACTCAAGTACACTCACAATGCAAAACTCAATACTCAATAGTCGTATGCACCAATCACATCCGCATGCGGCTTGAAATACCGTTGCCTGGCGACTAGGAATACCTAAACGGCTGGCGACGATCCTTTTTCGCATGGGAAAAGATCATAATGGGGCCGAACAGTGCCAGAAGGGTGATCAACCAGGGGCCGAGAGGCTCGGAAGTAACCAGACCGCTGCGCGAGGAGGGATTAATAAGAGGGTCATCGTTTTTTGCACGTATTTATGTTACTAATTCCTTGTACCGACTCGCATTTTCGCTCGCGTGTCATTTAGCGAGCCGACTCTACCGAGAATTCTAAGGGCAGACAAAAACTAAAACCCCTAGTGAACTTGGATGCATTTAGGGATGAATCAACCCTAAAAACGGGAACCTTCCTTGCGTTTAGGGTTGATGCCTCCCGAGTCGCATACGTTTCCGAATGGGTTATATTTATTTTTTTCCCAGCACGTTTCTGATCAGGTGGGGCGATATGATCACCTAGAATATAATAAGTTGTTATGTTATCACAATTTAACACGCCGAATCTTACTTTCAAAAGAATGAGACGCGCTTGTCTTAGTTCAGCACCTTCAACAAAGACAAATGAACAAGACATTTGGTTCTTGAAGTGATTCTCTTTTACTTACGGTTCGGCTTGTTCGCCGAGTCGTTTGGGCAGCTCCGGGTTGAATCCTACGGTTGAGATTGCCCGGCCCTACTTTGGTCATCCTCTGGGACTGTTCGGCCCCTATTTGATCATTTCCCTTTTCGCGTTCGTGCTCGATGAACTTTCGCTATCGCCCGTTACCATGACGATGCATGCGAATTTTGAACCCGCACACTGTTCGACTTCTCACACGCCCTAACTACGAACCCTACCCTAAGGAAAATCAAACCACCTCCGCGGCACCTATTTCTCATACCTCTCTCCACATCTGTCCGCGCCAGTCGCCATTCTAGCCGTGCCCGCATCAACCGTCTCGTACGTAGACCGCCGTTCGTCTGTGACCTGTCCTCTCAGCGGAGGGGCCTGATCTCGCGTGCCGTCACTTGCTGCGCGCCGATCGTCTCGCACTCACGCTGGTCCGCCATGGCACACGCGGCTCGCATCGCGCGACAGGCCGTGCAGTCCGCGACGATCGCGCGCGTGCGATTCTCCACGGAGGCGGCGAAAGCTTCGCGCGAGACGCTGGTGAGACGAGAAGCGGGTGAGGCGAGCAGTGGGTGAGGCGAGCAGCGGGTGAGGCGAGCAGCGGGTGAGGCGAGCAGCGGGTGAGCCCCACCCGAGCTGAGCGCAGCCGTCGATCTTTCCGCGTCTCGCCTTCTACTCTTTCCCATGCTGCCATCTCCCCTCCACTTCTGTCGTCCCCCCTGGCTGCGCGGTCCACCGTGAGTGCGCGACGTGCACGACTCTCCTCGTCGCTCGCCGCGAGGCGCGCTTGCCGCGTCACACTTGTCCACCTCAGCCGCCCTGCCCGCCCTCTCCAGTTCCGTGCATGCCGCCGTATCTCGCGTTCAGCGCTCATTCTTGCTTCGGAAATCGCCCTCCCTCTTGGCATCTCGCCCTCCCTCTTGGCATCTCGCCCTCCCTCTTGGCATCTCGCTCACTGGCTGCCCATCACAAATCAACATATCTGTCATGTCATTGTCCCCCCTCCCCCTCCCGCCCCCAGCTGGTGGAGGACGACGTGGCGCTGCGCAAGTGCAATCCGCAGAAGGCCGCCCTGGCCGCCTGCAACACTGCTGGCAACGCCGTCACGGCACTCGTGCTCGCAGGTAGTGCACCGGGATGATGTGGCACTCTGATGACGTGGCAGCCCTCCCACGTGGCTGCCTGATCACATGGCAGGCCGATTTGATACTTATACTTGTCCTGGCGGGGTGCGAGCATCATTCACTGGCCTATGAGCTTGCCTCTGCACGTCATTGCAAGCTTTCATTGCACCGAGAACAGCGGCATTGAGAAACGCATCCCACCACACAGTGATTGTTGCGGGCGTGAATCGCCAGTGGCGTGCGTGCCGCCTTCCATGCTGTGGTGCCACTTGCCCTCTCCCCGTTCCTCTCCCACCTGCCACTTGTGCTCCTGTCCCCCCCTGCATGCGTGGCAGCCGCAGCCGTGGACCTGTCGTACCGCGTCATGAACGCCCGCACTGACCAGTGAGGGCGCCTGCGCCACCACTGGCCGTGCCACACGGCAGGTGGGGATAGTGGTGATGCACCCAGGATGGGCTGTGTGGCGCTGTCATGCCATCCATGCCATATGTGAATTTTGACGCATTGACATGACATAGCAGAGGGGGTGTACGCATATATTTTCTTGCTCAATACGTTAACAACTCGATACAATGCAAGGAAATAAAATTAGACTCACCTGCAGGGCTCAGGTTTGGATTTGGCCTACTCACGATTGGCAGTGTAGCTTTTTCAAAAACCCTTATGGGCAGTGTGTACTTTTTCGTTACACTGATAGAGCAGTGTAACATCAGGTTTTGAAAATTTTACTCTGCATCATCAGTGTGGTTTTTTTTCAAACACTGACAGATGTTCGCGAAGTCCTAAACTATTACAGTACAGGTAACACCTAGGTTCGGTTTCGTGGCGTGCTGGAAAGGGAATCATTCCTGAGGGCGTGTGTCTTTTGGCGAAATGTGTCAAAGTTCGAACATCAACCGCTTTGCACCGTGACGAAACATCTCTCAATAGTATCGTAAAGTGATGCGATCAGAAGTTGATCGTCCTCAGGATCACCTCAGGAAGGTTCGCCAAGTTCTAGTCTAGTAGTGGTGGGCCCTTGACCTCAATAGCAGAGTGAATGTAAATGCTTGAGATAATAAAAACATGCAATACAAAGGATATAAATAAGAGTACAAGGGAATTCGAAACGACCTAGCTAGCCATGTACTCTAAGGGGTACATTCCCTTATTACAGCGAAATCCAACCGTGCGACTCCAGACAGTTACGAAACTGTTCGGGCAGAATCCTCGCCACTGCTGCTGCCTGATGCTGTCTGCCCGACGGTCCAGATGCTCCTCGTAACCGTACGTCCCTTTGCATTACTTTCGCCCTTTCGTCTTCATCCTCGGTAGTACATGCTTCGCTTGCTACGGTGAGGAGTGCACAATAGTGTTTCAATAATCACTATTCGTAACACCCCCCTTCACTCCTGGCCGTAGCGAGTCTTGACCCGCTTGACTACTCCGCTGAGTTCGGAGCAGTGTTGGTACTACGTCACAGCTTCTTTGTGAGGAAGTCTGCTGCCATGTCACCCGTCGGGCAGTAGGTTAGGTCAACCTTGCCCTTGTCAACTTCGTCCTTGACGAAGAAGTACCGCAGCGCGATGTGTTTGGTGCGGTTGACGAATCCCGGCTTGTTCGCGATCCTGATCGCGCTCTGGTTGTCGCAGTGCAGGCGGAAGTTCGTCGAGGTTGGGATTTTCGCCTCCTGCAGCAGCTCTTGAAGGTAGAGGCCTTCGCGAACGGCTGCTGTTGCTGCGATGAATTCCGCTTCTGCTGATGACAGGGCAACCAGCTCCTGTTTCTGTGAATTCCAGGAGATGGGGCCGCTGGGCTCGAGGCGAAAGAGGAAGCCCGTACTGGACCGTCGATTGTCAGGGTCAGCGGCGTGATCGGCGTCCACGTAGCCGATGAGGTTGAAGGACGAAGTTGGGATGGTGGAGTAGCAGAGCCCGATGCTGGGCGTGGAGATGAAGAACTGGAGCGCCCGCTGGAGATCTAGTAGATTCTCAGCCGTTGGTTTGCGAGAGTAATCAGCCAACTGGCTCGCGATGTAGGAAAGGTCGGGCCTGCAGGTAACAGATGCAAAGAGCAGGCATCCCAACTGTTGCTGGTAGGTCTGAAGCCCAGCAGGGGACAGGGCTTTGATGTCAGGCTTGTGGTTGGGTCCTGGAGTGCGGTAAGGGGTGGAGAGTGGTGCAGGCGCAATGTTGAAGCGTTTGCTAAGCTCCTTTGCATACTTTGCCGCTGAGAGATGAATGGCTTCCGGCGAGTAGGTGATGTTGAGCCCGAGAAACTGCTTCACGTCATGGTTGCAGGTAATGTCGACGCGCCCTGCGAGGTTTTTCTTGAATTGCTCAAGCAACTCGTTGCTTGACCCTGTGTAGAGGAGGTCGTCGACGTAGACTGTGAGCAGGATGTATTCGCCACGGAAATCGCGGCGATACATCCCAGGATCGTGAGGCAGCTGCTTGAACCCGATTTCAAGCAGTATGTTGTGCAGGTACTGCTGCCAGAGTCTCGTGTCAGAATGAGCAAGAAGTGATTGCACTAGGAAAGAGTTGGGTACAAGTAGGAAACCCTAAACTTTCTGTACCCCATAGTAACTACCCCACTACAGCCTAAACAAACTGTAGCAGATATGGCATTTGACACACCCCCATAGGCAAAGTGGGGGAGAGCAAGGGGTCACAAGACCAGTCAAGAAAGGCAAAGCAAGCTCAGGGTGGATCACAACGTCACCACACACTCTGAGCACAAGCAAAGGGCCACAAGGCCAGTCCACATGCAGAGGCATATATGCAACACAAACATCAAAGTGATCTCTACCTAGCAAAGCAAGCATGCAGGTATATATATATAGATCACAGTACAAGCAAAGCCTACAGCAAGTGAGGAAAAGTGGGCACAAGCCCTAGCATAGTGCAGAAACGCTGATGATCACCAGACTGAAGTGCCTTGGTGAATATATCAGCAGTGTTGGCCCGAGTGGCCACGTAACGCAGACGAAGCTGACCACGCTGCTGCAACTCTCGAGCCAGGAAGTAACGCAGAGCGATGTGCTTCGTTCTGTGCTCCAGTTTGTGCTCCTCACACAAGGCAATGGCTGCCTTGTTGTCGACGTACAGCACTGGAGGAGAACGAGGCCGCTCTCCCAAGTCAGTCAGCAGGTAGGTGAGCCAGCGCAACTCCTGTGCAGCCATGGCTGTGGCGTAGATCTCAGCCTCACAACTGGAGCTGAGAACTGAAGACGAGCGAGTAGAACGCCAAGAAGCTGAACCAGAGCCAAGGCTGAAGGTGTAACCCTGTGACGACCGCTGAGTAACCTGGTCGTCAACCCAAGAAGCGTCTGAGTGCCCAGTGAGAACAACTGAGCTCCTCCCTCCAAGCACTAGCCCCATGCCTGATGTACTGCACAAGTAGCGCAGTACCCTCTTAGCAGCAGCCATGTGCTCAGGTCGGTGCCGACCAGGAGCCACGTAGCGAGCCAGAAGACCAAGAGGGTACGCGAGGTCAGGACGAGTGCAAGTCATCATGTACATGAGGCAGCCAACTAGCTCTGGGTAAGGACCACTCGGCTCTACGGACTCGTCCGAAGGTGGAGCTGAGAGCGAGTGACCTGTAGCCAGAGGAGTGGCCTGTGCCGAGGACCAGGTGAAGCCGAAGCGCTGAAGGACCTGCTGCACCATGTGTAACTGAGTCAGGGTGATGGTGCGGCGTGCTCTGTCCCGGGTGATCCGCAAGCCAAGATAGCTTGTCAGCTCACCCAGGTCTGTGCACGTGTGTCTCTTCTGCAGCTCCGACTTCACGTGGGCGAGAGCCTCAGTGTCAGCAGTGGCAAAGACCAAGTCGTCGACATACACGAGGATGTAGAACGGCGGCAGTGAAGTGTCGGTGCGCAGAAACAGCGACGGGTCAGCAGTAGAAGGCGCGAACCCAAGAGCCGCAAGTGTAGTCCTCAGTGTGTCGTGCCACTCACGTGGCGCCTGGCGGAGACCGTAGACCGGCCGCCGGAGGCTCCACTGGGTACCAGGAGGAAACGACCCAGTGAAGCCAGGAGGGCGGCGCAGCCAGATCTCCTCGTGCAGGCTGCCCTGCAAGAAAGCTGTGCTGAAGTCAAGAGAGTGAAGCTCGTAGTCACGCTGAGCTGCAACGTGCAGCAGCACCCGAAGAGTGGTCATCTTCGGGGTAGGGGAGAAGGTCTGGAAGAAGTCTACTCCCTCTCGCTGACTGAAGCCTCGAGCAACGTAACGAGCCTTGAAGACAGGCGGAGACCCTGGCGGCCGCTTCACCCTGAAAATCCACATGCCACTGACGATGTTCGCCCCAGGAGGGGGAACCTCGTCGAAGTAGGTGCCTGTGGACTTCCAGGAAGCCATCTCTGCGTCCATGGCTGTCTGCCACTGAGAGGAGTACTCACTCGCGATCGCCTCAGCGTAAGAGCGCGGGGTCGGGATGTCTGGAGCATCCGGGTCTCCCTCAGGTGCAAGCAGCATGGCCACAAGATGAGGTACAGCAGCGGCAAAGCACTCAAACTCCTCCTGCCTGTCCTCAAGGACGTCCGTGCCAAGAGCACACTCACCCCCGACGGACGGAGGACAGACAGACTCAGACTCAGCAACAAGACTCGCAGCGTAGTCTAGACGACAGTGAGCAGCAAAGTCGACAAGCTCAGCAACTAAGGCAGACGCAGCAGTGGACTCAAAGGAAGAGTCAGTGACAACAGTGGCCAGGAGACGCGTGACAGTAGGACTAGCAGCACGAAGGGAGTCAGACTCCGGATCAGCAAGAGTAGGAAGAGAGGACGCAGGAGGAGACGGCAGAGGGACACGCTGTGGAGCAGTGGAAGGACGCAGAGTCATATAGTGTGTGCCAGGGACAGGCGGAGGACGCTCACGCGGAACACGACGACCAGTGCGAGCAGCACGAACAGGCGACGCTCGACGAGACTCAGGCGACGCAGGACGAGACTCAGGCAACGGAGGACGAGACTCAGGCTCACGACGCTCCGTAAGACTACCCGTCGGCGCAGTGTAAGGAGAAGGACCAGGCAGCGGAGAGGCAAGCGGTAACTGTGACTGCGACTGGACAGGCGGTGGACTCAGTAGGGGAGGAGTAGGAACAGGAGAGGGCGGGAGGCCAAGAACCTGCTGAAGGAGCGGAACGTAGTACGGCCGCGGCCGCTCAGCACCTCCTGAACCAGCAGAGACAGCACCAGCACCCTCAGCCCCAGAGTCTCCAGCGACAACTCCCGCAGCACCACCAGTAACCCCAGCAGCTCCAGTACCTCCAGCTCAAACCCCCGCAGCAGCTCCAGTCCCAGCAGCTCCAGCACCTCCAGTACGAGCACCTCCAGAGCCAGCGGCTCCAGCAGCTCCAGCACCAGTAGAACCTCCAGTCACTCCAGCACCAGCAGCTCCTCCAGCA